TTTTTTTTTTTTTGCATTGCTTACATCTGAGGGCGTCCTGTTCCGCAGCTCTAAGTGGATCCTTTTCTTCATGTCCATGTCCGTGGCTGGCGGTGCTGGCGCAGTGACCCCTGTGCGGACCCCCCCGGTCGCGGGGCGCGGAGGGACTCGGGCTCGCCCAGCGCCGCTCGGAAGCCCGAGCGCAGCACCGCGGCGGGCACTAACCTGATAACCGCGGGGGCGGGCGCTCGGGGGGCTCGGGGCCTGACTGACGGCGCCCGCCACCAATCGCCGCGCGCCGCCGCCGCGCCCCGGCCAATGGCGCGCGCCAGGCGCGGCGGAAGCCAATGGGGGAGCGGCGTCGGCCGGGCAGGGGGACAGCCCGGCCCCGCGCCGAGCCTCATTCCGCGCCGCTGGCCGAGGGGGACGGAGCGGCCGCGGCTGCGGCTCCGCGCGGGGAAGCGCTGCGCCCCCTCCGCCCGCCCCGCTGCGGCCGCCGGGGGAGGCGGCGCGGGGCGGGAGCGGCGCTAGAGCCGGAGCCGCGCCCGGGCAGGGGCGCGCAGCCAGGAGGGAGGGAAAGGTGCGGAGCGGGGAATGGCGCGGGAATGGCGCGGGCCCCGGCGGCGGGGGGCGGGCGGAGCGCGAGGGGCGGGCGGAGCGCGGGGAGGGGCGGCGGCGCCGCCGCGGCGGCTCTGAGGGAGCGGGGGGGGAGAGGCCGCTCGCGGGCCGGGGCCGTCCTCAGAGGGGAACCCGCGGCCCCGGCCGCCCTCGGAGGGGAACCCTCGGGCGGGGGGCGCGGGTGGTGCCGTCCGGGCCGGGGTGGGAGCGGCTCCGGAGGGATCGGGGCGGTAGGCGCTGGCCGTGCCCGGGAGTGCCGGACGGTCGGTTCTCCCCCCAGGGAAGCACCCTGGAGGTGTTGTGGGTGCGCCGAGGGGCGGCGGGAGCCTCGCAGGGGCTCGTGTTGTATCCAGTTGTGGGATGGAGAAGGGGCAGGGCCTGCGTGGCCAAGGAGGGCAGTCCTTCTGCTCCTGAGGGGAAGGGACAAGAAGGACCGAGAGGGAGTTTTTACAAGAGCCTGGAGTGACAGGGCAAGGGGGAATGGGTTCAGACTGAAATAGGGCAGGGTTTAGTTGGAATATCGGGAAGGAATTGTTCCCCGTGAGGGTGGGGAGGCCCTGGCACAGGTTTCCCAGAGAAGCTGTGGCTGCCCCTGGATCCCTGGAAGTGTCCA